GCCACAACACATGCGGATATCTGGCCTGATCAGCCAGACGTACCTGCTTTCCTCGAACTTTTGAACTCTTGAACTTTGGTAAAGGGCTAGTGAGTTCCGCAGACATGCACGTTACGCCGTCACCCCGTCGGTCCGTTTTCGTCTTGAGCTTTTGGGCCTTGGTACCGGTTAGCTGGTCAGCCTGGCTTCCGGCAACCCGGTCCAGTCAACCCTTGTAGGCGTTCAGCCGGGCTCCCGGCCAACCCGGCCCAGTCAGCCCAGTCACTGGGTGTTCAGCCGGGCTCCCGGCCAACCCGGCCCGGTCATTCCGGTCAGCTCGGTCAGCCCAGTTAGCTGGTCAGCCTGGTTAGCCGGTTGCTACTAACGGTTGGCCGGCCAGGTTAGAATTCAAACACATTTCAACTGATTTCAATTGTAATCCATAAAGAAACCAAGTAGAACTCAGTTAGAATTTGAACTCAACTTAGAAAGAAAATGAAATTCAATCCGAACTCAATTGGAACTCATTTGAATAGCACTACATTACACTTTAATGAAAATCTATTAATTTGATTCGATGTTCACCAGTGTTCATTAGAATTTAATTGAACTTAAATTGGAACTCAGTCAGAATTTTCTTCGACTTGAACTTAGATTTCAAGTAGAATGCAGTTGCAAGTTAAGTAGGTTTTATTTCTATTTCGGTTAATGTGTTAACATTTAAGGAAAAGCCATTTAGACTTCAATTCGCGTTTAATCTATTTGTTTGCTGTCCATAACAACTTCACGGCTGGCCCGGTCAGCCGGCTGACCGGGCTGACCGGCTGACTGGCTGACCGGGGTGGGGTTCTGACCGGACCCCGATCGACCGCAATCCCGACCCGGTTGCCCGGTTACCGCCATAGTCGGATGGTACAGCTGCCCAGCTTTTAAAATGTTTCGGATCAAACAATTAAACATTTCTTCAAGAAAATGGGGGATGACTGAAAGCACGGTTGGTTCCTTTCGAGTTCTTTTGAACGTGGTACCTTCCAATGAGACGAATACTCACCCTGCCACAAACTCATCGTGCAGTGGTTTGCGCGCTCTAATCTTGCCAGTTTGCAGGAGGTAGGCGGGGTGTAATGAAGCACTTTGTGCTCACGGCAAAGAATCAACAATTTCAGAAGAGGAGGGAATTGGCATGAATTGGCAAGGTTCTTTTGACGACCGCATACGTGAGTTGATAGCCTCCTCAAACCAAGCACCCAACCATAAAGGAACCGTCGCCTTACTTCAGATTTGCAGGGCCAGCTCGACACCCACATACGACATTGAGGCGCAGTTCACTGGGTCTGTCCAGTGTTGGAATGTTTGAGCAATGCTTGCCTTCGCTTGGCCCTGCTCAGCTTTGCTTTCCATTTCTTTGGCGAGGTAGTTCGTGTCAGTAAGTCAGTCAGGTGATCAGTTAGTTAGTACAATTTTAGTTAGCTTGCTTTTGTGTGTGTTTTTTTTAATCATTTCATTAGTTCGTTAGTCACAGGAGTATCTGATGGCTTTGACAATCTTTACTCTGTTGCTCCCTTTTATCTCATAGTAGTGCACGGGTTTGAGTGTGGAGAAACCGCAGACTTCCCACAACATGTAAGGAAAGCAGCCAATCAGGCAAGAACGCACATGTGGCATCACATGCATCACATGTCTTCAAGAATTGCTCCGTGAAGCCTCTCCCCAGCGGTGATGTGACATACAGTCATACAGTGGAGTCATTGATTGTTTTCCCTAAGAATAATGGCACCAAAAGAATCGCGTGAACTGTGTGTCCAAACTGAGCCGCACCCGCGGCACGCGGCGCCTAAAAACCCGCCGTGGCCAGGATCCCCGGTGGCCAGGCCGGCGCTTGTGTGGAAGCCCGGGCTGGAGGAAGCCACCATTTCTGCTTGGATCCGTAGCCAGGAGTTTCCCAAGTGGTGTCCCGAACAGCAAACAGTCAACAAATTGGATGGAGCTATGCTTAAGCTCTGAGGGAAAGATAGGGAAAGTAGATGTGAAAACTCTTTGCATGGTGGTGAAAACCGTTTTGGATGGGGTTTTTGAGGCTCTGGTTTTCATTTATTTCGTCATCTACAACAGCTCGCAGCAGTCTCCAAGGCCTTCAGTCCACAGCTCACACCGAGGCCTTCGCCTTCGGCAACGGTCCGCTCTGGTTCGAGGCGCGCTGGTCGTTAGAGCTTGCCAATGAGCGTTCGGCGTTCGGTGGTGTTTTGTCTGCACGCACACGCACACACACACACACACACAAATGGAAAACACTGCAGTCACAAGCATGGCTTTCAAGACGGTGTGTGTCAAGAACAAGTTCTTTTGCAATATATATATATATATACAATATATACAATATATAATATATAATATATAATATATAATATACAATATATAATATATAATATATAATATATACTATATAATCTATAGCATAATATATATAATATATATATATACATATGCATCCAGTGAAGGACTTGCAGTGGTCGTTCGGTACATCCCTTGGTAGGACGGGCTTGTCTGGTTTGCGGTATAGGCTATCCTGGTTCATAACATTATTGTACCATGCAGATCATTTTTGAGCCAGACCTTGGATTTCAGTTGGTTCAGCCTTCGCCAGGTCACGTGGAAGGAACCTTTGAAACGGGCAAGTCAATAGAAATGCGGTGGCACTGTTGGTCTGGCCGTCCGCTTTCCGCCTGCCGATCCAAGCGGCTCTTGAAGACTTGGAATCTCAAGGCGACTGCATGGGTGCGTGCAATCACAGATGCAGGACGGAATTCACCTGGAGTTGCAGACTGTTGAAGATCTAGTGGATGGCCAAAGGGTTTGGTTCCTTCATTTCAGGGTTCGAGGAAGCTCCGCATCACAAACTGGGTCTCCTGAATCACCATGTTCGGAGCATCCCGCAATAACAGAACGATTGCTGCACAGCCTGAATGACCTTGAGCAATTCTACTGCTCGGCGATGCTGCTGCGTTCGCCTGGCAAAAAGAAACAGCGCATGGTCGTGGCGAATTTGAAACAGGAAAATGCTGGCCCTGACATTTGAGAAGCTTCGGGGACACTGTCCCCCACAAACAGCACCATATGGAGGTCGAGGACATTTCGCCACAAGATCTCATAGGAAAAGGTTTGCCTGTGTGCCTCATTTCTGGTGTATGGCCTTTATGAAGCCACCTTTCGGATTCCCTCGGTTTCAACAAGGCTCTGACGGCCAATAGCAACGGGAAAGCAACGGAAAGAATCTGAATGGAGTCTGCGAATGGTGTGGCTTTTTCATGTGTTTGATGTTTCTGTACCGTACCAGTTTTGAATCAAAAGAAATCAGTTTTGACCACCTCAAGTTAAGCTTTCCAACACGTTGAATCTCAAGATACCGTAGGTATTCTTAACTGGCTTCCTGAAGGCCCAGGCCCAAATTGGGTTCTCTTTTTGAACGGGAACATGCTTGAGGACACAGCAGAACGTGCTTGGAACCGGGCTGTGGCATGTGTTTGAGATGTGGGGCACAGCAGATGATCCAAAGGACGTTGCCCAAAAGGCACAGCAGATGTGGCTGCGCTTTTTGCACCGGCTCCATGGGCCTCCAACAGCACCAGATGCTGTCCTCTTGATGTATGCCTAGAGATAGCACAATATCCACTTCGACCATTTGAAACGAGCTGGTATATGAACTCTGCTCAGATTGCAGATCCACCCTTGTTCAAGACATTTCGGTGCGTCTGATGTTGTGCCGGGCTGGAAAAACGCGTAGGTGATTGACACAACCTGGCTGCACAACCTGGCAAGTTCTTGCAGCTTCAGTTTGGGCTGCTGAGGGTAGCAAGCAGATAGTAGAGAGATGCGTCCAGATCCGAGAGACAGAAGAGACACCCTTCGTTCCCCCCAAAGCCGCCAAGCTTATCGCTCGTTTCTTTCTGGTCCACGCATGCACATGCAATACTTGGGGACTTCAAGTTCCAAGGGGTTGCCCATTGGCATGTAGATACACTGCATGAAACGGTCCCCCAAAGACCTGTTTTGCTTCAGACAATAGCCCAAATACCTCACACAAGCACTCCGATATGATTGTTCCGATCATGAAAGTTGTGTCAAAGCTGGATCAACACAGGCACATGCACACTGTCTTCAGATACATATAGGAACTAGCTCCAGCTGCTTTATCACAACCTCCAGCTCTTCCAGATGATCTATAACTTTTGCAACCAGAAGAGGAAAAACACAGCCTTGCGCCCGATGATGCAACCCCCAAGCTGCTCCGCTCACCGTTTTCTCGGGAAAGATCGGCCCAGTCGAAAAGTCCGCGACAGCGCCTCACCTGGGACCTACCACCTCGCGTCCTTGCTCCTAGTATATAGTAAGGCCAGGAGCCCCTAGTAGCTTGTTACTAGTAGCGATGCCAGGAGCCCCTAGTAGCGTCCTTGCTCCTAGTAGTATGTATGCGGGAAGGATGGGTGTTTATATTCCAAGCCCGCGGTCGTGTGTGTTCGAGACTCTCATCAGCAACATTAGCAGCTACACCGTCCGTCATGTATGCATAGTCATAGCGGCATAGTCATAGCGACAGCGACAGCGACCCCAATCCAACTCGGGCCGCGTAGCTTGGGGAGCTTCCTGTAGCGCCTTGCTCCTCGTTCAACTGTCGGATGTCGGGTGTCGGATTCCGATTGGAATTCAACCAAGAAGCAGTCCAACTTCAATTCGCAAGGGAAACAGTGCCAAAGATAGGAAGTGTCGTCCGAAGTCCAGAACGTGCTTGCTGTAAACATGCCTGGATACAGTAAATCCCAGCCATGGAGTATCAAAGGCAACGTCTTTGTTTTGTCTGGAGTTCTTTCGCCCCATCCATCCACGTTCCCAGGCTTTTTTCGGTCGGTCCAACTCGGCAGCGTCAAGACACAAGACACGTGTTTCCGGTGCCGTCGAACCTCACCGGCCGTCCGCGGTGTACGTTCGCTTCGTGAGCGCGAAGAACGCGCTTCCCACATCGCCAGAGCGGCGAGATCTTCAGCCTGCTTGGCTTCGGGGTGCGGGGTGCCGAGCGCGGGCGGCGTGCCGATTCCGCACTCTCCTTCGACTGCTCGGGGAGAGTGCGGTGCGTCAGATGTTTCGGTGGGGGACGGGACGGTCGTCGTTTGAGTTGCTTCGAAGTCATACCACAAGGAGCTAGACAGACGAACTATTGGCTGATCCCCGCAAAGAGGCTCTAAAGATGCATTTCTATTTTCGGGTTGCCTTCAACACCTCATGAAGAGCAGTTTTTGGGCGTTGAACGCCGCAGTGCTGCGTCAATTCTGCGACCCTCAACTTGTAGAGTTCCCCACTAGACGCTCCATGTCTTCGAGTCTAAAGGTTTCTGCTGCACAAGCTTCATGATATTCTGATATTCTAGGAAAGAAGCTTCTGAAAAGCCGAGTATCGTATCTAAAAGAGAACAAAGCTCCACATTTCTCTCCAAACCCTTGTCTTTTAATCTGTGGGGCGTTTTGAGGCTTTGACGTCCATCACACTGAGCCTTTCCCTGTGGCTTGGTCAAAGAAACAGTGTTGTCGCAGAACTTGGCAGGCAGATACGTGGATGGCCAAACATTGAATGTGTTTTTGAAGGGCAGACTGACGTGTGACCTGATCTGCAGCTGTTTAGAAGGGAAGTGCCATCTGAGACATCAGTGGCATCAACGTTTGATCAGCTATGGGTTATTTAAACCTTGATGTGTTTGGAACAAGAGCAACAACAAGATGTCGTAGCACTTTTGAAGGGAAGGTGTGATTGGCCCTTGGGACTGGTCCATCTTGGTCCCAAGAGAACAGTGGAGCTCCAGCTGATTGTGTTGAGAGGGCACAAAGTCTCTGCAGCTATATAGGACTAGCCGAATGGACCGAAAATAGACATGCCATGTGCCACGTGACCCGAGTGACCCGATGTCTCTTCGTCTTCGGTTCAGGTATCGGATCAAACCTCACGTGGTCCGGGCATAGCCCAGCGACTGGGCACCGAGGTCCGAATCGCTGTTCCACACGGCCTGGGTCCGCGGCCCTAGAGAGACTGGCAGGTCGGAACCCGGTGGAAGAAGGTGGCTCTTTTCGGCTGCGAAAGAAAGGAATCAACTGTTGGAAAGGAAGGTTGTTTTCTTTGGTCCTGGCTGCCAGGCCATCGTCTTGCCCTGGCTACCAGTGGTTGGGGCCTCATGGGTCGTTAAATGCGGGGAACACACCGGAAGACGGAAGATGAGAATCGAATTGGTACACAGGAAGCCACCAAACATTTCACATCCTGCGTGGGTCACTGCTTCTGTCACAGGACAAGGGTTTCCCCGAAACAGGTGTTGAGGCTATTGAACGCCACATGAGGGATCTGGCAAACCCATCACCTAATTATATATCCAACGAGATGGAGTGAGATAGCTTTCGGCTTGGAGATATGTGACATGTGGATACATGTAGCATCTCCTCACAGGCAGTTTTCCCAAGATGCAAGTTCAATTGCAGGACTCCAAGACCAATCTCTCCATTTTTTTGCGACCCACCATTTCTTCTCCCCTCGAGGGCTTTTTCTTCGCGATCTTGAAGTCTCTCAAATTCAGAAGAGCTCACGACCATTTGAGATTCTCTAGCCATCCTTTTTGGAACTAAACATCCACTTTCCCATGGCCTCAGCAGCACCAAGCGTCTAAAGAACCATTGACTGCAACGAAGGACGGTTTTTGGCACGCATTTGCTGCTCTTTGGTCAAGACTTGGACAAGAAATCTGAAGAAAACAAAACTAAGGGCAACAAACCATTTGGGGGACTAAGCGAGTCTTGCGCTTCGGACCAAGGTGGCAGCCTTGCAAGTTGCCTTGTTCTGCCGCTGGAAGAAGCTGCGCGCTGTGCTTTGCCGAGAGGAGCTTCGATGGGATGTGGAGATTGCTCACAGTTGGTGCTCGAGTTGGGGCGAATTTGCTGCACTGAGGATGTTGCTAGGGACAGTGGAGTGGAGTGCGTACAAGTACGGAATCCCGAAGCCTGCAGTGCTTTCGAGAGCGATTTCTCAAGCATTTCAACTTTTGTGGGTTTCAGACATCTTTCCGTTCCCGAAGATACCCAGACGACTTCCATAGAATTCACATCTAAGAGAGCTCTTAAACCGTAGTTTGCTTCATTTGCTTGGCACCGAAAACGCAACAAGAAGACTGCTGTGGTCAGCGCAAGACTCTTTCTTTTCACTTCAGCGTTTCTTTGAGGTTGCGGAATCACACGTGTGCATGAATGTCCGAAGCAGGTCCTGTGAACGTATGCTGTTTCAGCAGTTCATGTCGAGTGTGGCACCATCTAGGAACCTTTCGGTGGCATATGTATTTCCCCACCGAATGCCACAGTCACTTGCTGCCATCCGCCGACCCACACCGAGCGGACCGAGCCCCACGGCCGAGACGGCCGAGACTACGCGCACAGACAGAGTCACATGTGCACAGGAACGAGTCATAGAGAGGACACAGATCAGAGAATCATGGATCATCATGGATCATCAGAGAACAGTTTCTCAAAGTTTGGCTCTGGATGTGATGTTCTTCCTCAATTGTCATTCTTTTTCTAAAGGACACGACACGATGTCTTACTTTTGGATGTTTCGTTGGCCCACTCGAGGAGAGGATCCTCCGTGTTTCGGAGCAACTCTTGCTGTCTGTCGCCGGTGACTCAAGGGGGAGAGGCAGTGGCGGCAGTGGATTCCTCTCTTTCGCAAGACACTCGTTGTTTCCTTCCTTTGAAAAAGCAAGCGTTGCAGACTGCCCGGACTGACCTTGTACCAAGCTTTGGAGGAGGTTTCTGGGTTCGGACAGAGAACATGGCACTCTATTTTTGTCAAGAATGTTCACTCACAAATGACCAGGTAGGGATGGTCCAGGAAACAGGTGGAAACATCATGTACTGTACTGTGTATTATATATATACATACATATATTTGTAGGAGCAACATACCACAACTGTATCCTTGAGTCAGTCATGCAAAATGCATTGCATCGTTGTAGCGACCATGACACTAAGAAGCCCTTGCTTTGAGATCGCGTGATCCCTTGACTAGGGTCAGCCAACCTATCAATCAACCCAAGAGCCAATCAAAATGCTGACATTGCATCTATTGTTCGCCCCATTTTGCTTCCCGAGATCTTTGTGACCTTGGCCGTGCTTGTCTTGGAGCTCTCACCCTACCATGTAGGCCAAAACTCAGGGGCTGGTGCTTGAATGAGCAATGGAAAGCACGGAGCAATCCGCTCCGCACTGGGACACTTACTGGTCTTCAGGGATCGAAACGGAAGAGAAGAAGGGAAGCGCTGTGGGAAGAACGGAAGTCTCGCCAGGGATGGTGGAGACTTTGGACACAATTGGACTCATGTGGCATTCTGTGTTTCGACTTCCCTCGAAGAAAACAAAGAGGTCAATCACTACGAAATCTTGTCAAGTTACAAACACATATCACACAACACAACCTGCCTTCAAATACTTTTTTGCATTCGCTTTTGGCTACCTTTTGAGCCGCACGGCCCAGAGGACTGGCTGGTGCGGAGGCAGGGACAGCTGGCATGGTGCTTGGCTCAGGCGGCGGACGGCGACGCCACCGGCACATGTCGCTTTCGGATTGATCGGACAGTGATTGAGCGCCAGCATGGCCACCTAGAGCCACAGAGGAGCAGCAGGATCACTGCGATCTGACGCGGCTGAGTGTGAGAAACCCATCAACCAACGTAGGCAGCCAACCATGAATTATCGATGATGACACTGTGAAACATTCAATCCATGACTACATACATGAGTTGCTATTGGAGCAAAAGACACATACTACAAAACAAAACCTGCAATGTAGGTATGCAAGATTGCACACTGACGTGTGGGTTTAGCTGCTTATGAGGGTCCACCAGCAAATGTTGCGTCTCTTGGCAACTGTTGTCCTCTATCTCTTACATGTGTGTTTCGTTGATGGTCTCATTCAAGCTTACAATGCACACTTGTTTGACAGGTTCTCACTCCCCATCTCCTCCTCCCCATCACACCTGGTGCGCATTTTTCCAGGTGACGCTTGTGCCTTGGCCACCAAGGAGGCCCATCTCTCTGTCCATCGCAACGGCCATGTCAGCCTTCTTCGCCGTCTCCTTTGCGGCAGTTCTGCCATGTCAGACGGCCCCCCGCCTTTGCCTTCACAACGCGCCCGCCGAACGCCGTCTGAATGGTGCCGCCTGAACGAGCCTAGCGAAACCGGTGTCCGGAAGGCCAGCCTTGCGTGTACCGTCCCTACTTGCGTTCACGGTGCACGTTCTGGGCCCAGGGAGTGTGTTGGAGAGACATAAGGCGCCTTCACCTAGAGCACGCCTTCGTGGTCGACGCTTGTGGCGTGCGTCGCGCTTTCCTGGTGTCATCCGACTCATCTAGCAAGCGCATGGACCGCATGGATATATAATCTCTGCACTTTGCAGCCTGAGAGTCTGAGTATCCGACTGTGGAGTTTTGAATTCAGAGGTTGGAGGCCGTCGCTAGTAGGCTGCAGTTTTGGCACACTATTTTCTTTCCGTGTTTGCCTCAATTCAGACACCAAGAGGCTGGCCAAATGCTGGTCCCGTCTTGCGGATTCTGATCGCGCTGTTAAATCTAGCTCCAAGAATGCATGCGCTTCTTCCACATTTCTTAATGATGTTATATTATATAATTATATTATATTAATGTTATATTATTATGTTACTGATGTTACTGTTACTGTTATTCTTGAGTTACGAAATCGGGATGGAAAGGGCGAGAACAAGTCTGAAAAGAACCAGTGAGTGACTGGTCGTCGCGCAGGACCAGTTACTGTTGGTCCAGGTTCCAAACGTTTTGAACAGGCTAAGTTATCAGGAATCTGTTGAAATGTGTTGAATCCGCTGTATTTCATTGCAGCGGGTTCCTTTTTTTTTAAAACAGATTTGTTGGTGTCACCTTTTAAGCACTCGCTTGGCAAGGCCTCGCCTGTTTAGCCTTGCTCCGAGGGCGCATGGTGGTGGTGGAGAGCAGGCGCAGCCGGGGTGCTGTGACTGACGAGAGCGGTTCCAACACGTCCCACCCCCTAAAAGACACGTCAATGTGGGGTGAGAGGGTAGATGCTCAGGTCAAGCGGTTCTGTTGCAGGTGAAAGAACCGTGACAAGCAGACCAAACATTTAGGAATCTTTGGGGACCTTGAGTAGATCATCCTGTGTGTCACTTGTGGCCTGCCAGGTGCGCAAAGAGCAAAGAACTAGTCTCAGATACCAAACTCCTGTCATTGCCTTTGACCAATCCGATTTTCCTTCAGCCATGGGACCTCCAATCATTTGCGGGTTCAGCTCCGGGTTTTCCATTCTCCGAAGCTGAAGATCGGACATTCCAAGTGCTACTGTTCTCGTTTCCTCGTTGTCCACCCTTGTTCGTCTACCAGGTTTGGCTCTTTGCCGGAACGGCTGCTGCGCCACGAGCTTCGGCATGAGGCGGGCTTTTGGAGCGAAAGCGCACTGAATGATCTGGTCCAATGACCTGGTAGTTGTAGCTATACGGCTGTCACAAGACTACAACAGGACAACCCATGCCAATTAGGGCGAGCCAGCGCGTGAAAGACTTGGTTGACGCAGAACCCCAATTTTTGTGACCATGATCAGTAGGAGTAGATGATCTTAGGATTCGGTCCATGGCTTTGAGCTCCACTCACCGCCGAAGAACCAGGCCAGCTCGATGCGAAGCTCGGTGATCTCGGGCGTGGGGGCAGAGGCGCCGAATCGAAGAAGGGCCTGGTTGGGTTTGATTGGACTCCAATCGAACATCTTAAGAGAAATGGAACATCTTTCCCACCACACCTTTTTGTCGCATTGACCTTGGCATGCGCCGCATCGCGCGGCATGCATGGCAGGTGCCTTTGGGGATGAGTGCCATCACGGTGCCTGAGACCAGCTCCCAAATGGTCTGAGTTGGCGACACTGAGCACCAAAGAAAGACACAGGTCGGCGACGTTGCGTCGGTTCACAGGACGATACGTCCAAAAGGTTGCAGGAGGTTTACACAGCTTATACAGCCCAATTTGAACATCAAGTCTTCACTGTGTGCTTGATGCATTTTCGTTTGGCATTCTGGCGTTCTACTGTGACTGACATATTTGGGAACCAGCAACAGTTGGCATACTTGGGATTGGGTTGCCAAAGCTTGAACTCACTCACCCATGTCTGCTAGAATCGAGCCCCTATGACCATCATGTGCCAGAGTGACCTATAGTGACCTCAACTTCCATCACTGATTCTTCTGCAGGAAGGACAGCTTCGTCGTTCGCACGGCAGTCAATTGTAGCAGTCAATCGCGGCCACAGCAACGTCGGACGCCATCAAGGCCCACAGTCCACACCACTGACTGCAGCAAAGAGATGCGAAACGAGCGCCAGCACTCCTCATTTGATAAGATCCCTTTAGACTCTAGATAATGAACGGTCATTCAGGGTCCAAAATGAACGGTTCCCCATCACGCGTACCTCTATCGGCACCGGGCCTAGCCCAAAACAAGGGGGCAGACTTGGAGAAAGCTCCAGCCTTGGACTCTCGACCATCCTAGCTTCGGCTTCCTCGCGCCATGGGCGTCATGAGCCTCGTGGCTGTTCGTTTATTTTTCTTTGTTCTGCGCGTTTTCCTTTGGATTCATTGAACATCTTGAAAAAACACGAGCAATAAAGAAACATAAAGACAGGTCTAGAGAAACAAAATCAAGAACACCAGAAAGAAACATGCGTTTGTTGATGTTTGTTGTACAGGGAGGCAGTCTATTCATCGATTTCGCAGGTCACCTTTAGGTCTGACAGGTTACGGAACTTGTGATAGGGAGAGGATGTGATCTGAATCTGTACATTTCTCTTCCGCGTGCACAGTTGACATGAAGAGGGCCACTCTTGTTGTCACGAAGAGGGACCAATCTCACTGGTCTATCGCGAGAGGAATGCAGCTTGTTTCACTGGTTCATCGCTTTGTCGAGAGGGTGGACATCAAATAATAGGAAACAGATGAAGTGTATTTTTTGTTGGCCGGATGTCTGGACTTCAACCAAGTTCGCACTGGTTTCAGTGAAGGTAGGAGACACATGGCCGATGCAACGGGTAGAAATCAATGGCCACTACGTCTGCTGACCTAGGTCACGCCACATCAATGGCCACTTGTCCTGCTCCACAGGTGCAGGTGGACTGTCTCGCTACGAAACGATTTCGGGCAGCCGTTGGACATGTTCCTTACTTTGTTGTACTGGGAGCAAAGAAGCTACTAGGTGAAGGCCATCGCTATTAGGTTGGAGGCCATTTCTAGTAATAGCAAGAAGCTGCAAGAAGCTACTAGTAACACGGGCATCGCTACTAGGAGCAAGAAGTGTTCCTTACTTTGTTGTACTTGGTTCTCCTTTCTTGTGGGGTCGGTGCTGGTATTCGGTGATTTTCTTAGCACTTTGGGACGTTCATGAATCAATCTGATGTTAAGCCGAGAAACAGTTCACATTCTTTGCGACAGTCATTTCAACATCTCACAAAAGAACAGCTTCTCAATTCATAGGGTCCTTTTCTTCAATTTAACTCCCTTGTCTCAAACTTGTATGCAAGAAATCAGAATGTCTGAAGAGGAGAACAAGCACCTTATCTAATGCATCGGGTGCATTCGATCAGACATGCGCACGTGTGAGTCGCACCATGTCGCACCTATCTGGTCCCTTCCCGCTGGAGAGTGTGAACTTGGACAGGTCTTTTAGATCTTGACATGTTGCTCACATATGCTGACACATGTGTTCGCATTTGACCTTTTCTGGCCTGTTTGGGCTTTGGCAAGGCATTGGATGCCCAAGCTCCTGCCTGCCTTGAGGGTGGCCGGGACTGACACCGCGGGAAGGGAGGAAGGGACAGGTTTTCGGCCAGCGGGGTACTGTCCGCATCGCAGGAACTTCCAACAGCAAGCCAAAGCAGCCAGCCGACTGTTCGAAGATCCACCCCACTCAGAACTGGATTCGATTGTCCTACCCCCCCAGAGTTAGAGATCGCAGAGACGGAGTCGTCGGCGCGCTCAGAGTACGAGGAGTGTGAAAGCCTTCTTGAACACGCTCAGCTCAAAAGCTTTGCAAAGTCCATCGACCAATCTTTGAAGGAGCACTGGGAGCTTGGATATGCTTGGATATACTTGAATGCCTAAGTCACACTACATGATATAAGTTTCAGTCACACTACTTGATACAGTGTCAATGCAACTCGGATGCTGTTGGGCCCAGCACAACTTGACATAGGATATATTAATCTTCCTCGGGATACCTCACTCTGCAAATCATATATACTGTACATGTTCTGCTCGCAAAAAACATGTTGCCGGGCAACATTTCAGTGTTCTTTGCCGTTTTTTTACGACTCCAACGATAGCAAACCTGCTTTGCCTAGTTGACACTGTACACCTTCGTGAACGATCTGCTTCCAGGAAGCCTTGGAAGCGACCAAGACTGCCAGAAAGCGTTTCGAGCGGCGGGCCTGTGCCTCAGAGCCGAAATCGGCTCTGCAGCAAAGCAGTGCCTCACGAGGTCGTGTTTTCACACTCAGTGCCGCAGTGACTCTCCCCCACTCAAACCTCCTGGACGCTACGAACGAAGCAAGGACGTTTCCCAACGGGGCTCCTTTGCTGCGACCTTCGACCGGTTTGGTTTCGACCACCGAAAGGCGAAACGACACCCGCGGCACAGAGGTTTGCGATTATCGCTATGCCGAGATCGAGGCCGGGCCCTGTGGGTAGGTCAGCTGATCAGCTACCAGCTACCTGATGCAAGAGCATTGCAAGGGCTACTTGTCTGCCAGGTCAAGACCTGCAGTCAGTCGACCCACCGTTTTCTTTTTTCATTTTTTTGCTGGGAAAAACCGGGGGCGTTCCGGTGCCATGACCGTCGTGATGACCTGTGTGGGTACCTGTGTATTTAGATGTGCAACTGCAGAAATTCATGAAGGACCATCCGGGTGGCTCCCAGCTTTTGAAGGTGAAAGGCAAATGACAAGCTGGAGAGAAACCTTTCAAAGAACCATTGAGAACCATTGGATTTACCGCAGACCTAGTTGAAGGAGCTTGCAAGTGCTCTGTTCTTGGCAACAGAGTTCCTTGCAGAATGAGATGGGTCCACCCAAGAGACCGAGATCCTCTTTTATGTATAAGATGCTTTTTTGTGTCATGTGTGATAAGGCACGTTTCAGCGAGATTCCCTGCAACCAAGAATGGCCGCCAGACTACATTGAATCCTTGCCAGACACGACATCCTGAAATGGTGATTTGTATGAATAAAGGTAGCCACCCATATGTACATGACATGTGTGTACCTTTTTTTTGGATCGGCCATAAGACAACCGCTCAAGAAGTTCACCACTTCACCCAAGTGTGCCTTGCGTCAGCCAGGCAAACACAAGCTTCCAGGAAACAGACACAGCGCTTGTGCATGAGAACTCGCTTTCTTCCGTCTGTGCATGGTTATCTGCACTCTTCTTGATCGACCGCTCTGCCTTTTCTTGTACTTCAAAAGCTTTAAATACCTCTTCTTTGTGCGCATTGCGTTCTACTCCTTTTTCACAATACTCACTCACTTATTTAACTTTCTTTCCACTTCTTGGTCTCCTTTTGTTCATGCCTCATTCCATCTGCATTTTTTTCCTTTGGTCTTCGCGCAGAAATCTTGCTCCGTTGCTGCGCCGGCCTTGAGTCGGCCCCAGCTGCCAAACAATATGCTTGGGCAGACTCACATGTGCCCAACCCAAGACGCCAAGACCGGCAAAGCCCATTCCTTGCCACCCTGAGGACAAAGGCCAAGTTCTTGCGGATGCTTATGGTGCGCCGATGGGGAGGGAAGAACGAGATTCGGCAAAACGGACATGTACAAGACACTTGGGACTAGGTTGGAGGCCATCGCTAGGAGGTCGGAGGCCATCGCTAGTAGGTTGGAGGCCATCGCTATAGTAGGTTGGAGGCCATCGCTACAGTAGGTTGGAGGCCATCGCTAGTAACAGGTGGGAGGCCATCGCTAATGGGGTTTACCTGATATTATCTGACCTGTAGTCTGACCAAAGACCAAAGACCACTCATCCAGCAACTCAGCAGCATGCCGCCGCCTTTGGTCCTGCTTCGCCCGCGGCCGCCGTCCGGCATCCATCGCAGGTCCCAACGGGCCCATGAAACCCGGCGGGAGCTACCTCTTTGAGCTCAGGCGAGCTCCCGTTGGACGATGGGTTCTCACTTATAGTTGGGTCTATCAGGTATTGTAGAAGTGAAACGGTGAGTGAGTCTGATTTCTGCCACGGTGAACCATGACGGAGCATTTGAAAGCTTCGTGGACCATGCTGGAGCTCCATGGAGAAGCGTTTAGGAAGTCGTTATGTGGGTCCTTTGCATTGCATGTCCCAGAGCATGGCATAGCCCAGAGACTTCGGCCTAGGCTTCGTTGCCCGGCATAGCCTAGTTGTGCCCTTCATGAATGGCATGCTAATACTACCGAGCCCAAAAAAGCGGCTGGATTTCCCTGCGCCTTTGGTAAGGGTTTGAACTGTTGGTGCTTTAAGGCGTTGGGCAGATGCTGTGCAAGAGCTCAACCACGAGTGCTCCAAGCGACAGGGCGACGTTTGTGTGAGCCCGGCTCCTCGGTCGTTGCGAAGAGAAGAAGACCCGGTCACCATGACAAAAGACTGACCGTGAAAATTGGACGCCAAGCTGTTGAAAGGTGCTGCAAGCAGCAAGAACGTTCACCAACGTGTTGTAGCAAGATGCATCTTGAGGTATTTTTTCGAAGAGGACGGCATCCAATCCCCAAACGCCATCCGTCTTCCCCAAACAGCCGCGTTGGATCCGTCGAACAGATCTCCTTTCATACCTTCGAAACTATCCACATGCGGATCAAGATGCCAATGGAGGCGAGACCGGCGCCGCGAGTCGCGAGTCGCCGTTCGCAGTTTTTGAGCCGTTCTGCACCGGGACATGTGGTGCTTCGAATGGGACGCCAACGACTCGCGGCCTACGACTCGCGCTGCGGAGCCGACGAGACCGCCGTTCTCCCACCCCTGGAGCCGTTTTCTCTACTGCGTCCGAGGCATCAGGTGGTTTTTTGCGTCCGAGATCTTGGGAAAAAGAGATGAAAGGAGAAAAGTACCGAGATCTAGATTGCATTATGCTACCTGTATAGATTGCTTTTCTTCCCAGACTCAGTTTCAGCAATCCAGATTTGGACATTAGACACTTTCGCCTGATTTGGGGACTTATAGAGTTTGGATTTGATAAAGCCACAGCCAAACTCGACGCTTTTCGAAGCGGAGAAACATCCATTTCATAGGCATGAAGTGAGAATTTTCCACCCGATTTGCACCGCACGTGGAGATCCAAGTTCTCCATCTTAGGATTCCCGATCACAAAGAGACTGGTTGGTCGAACATCGGACTCTAAGCAGGATCAAGACTTGGAGTGGTCGAAAGCCTTCGATTTCGATTTTTGAACATCAATCCAAATCAGTCGCTGCCGCAGCGACGCCAACGCACCCGTTTTTGCGTCGGCCAATGGCCGACGCGTTTCACAGGCCACGGCGTTCTGGGGTCTGGAGCGTCAGAGTGTGGCGCATGGCCATGGGTCACGGTACCCCCGTTCACCGTGGTAGGTTGACAGAATTAGTCTATTCATGTCTATTCTGTTCATTATCGGTGGGAAAGACACCCGCGGTCTGGTTTTCCACAGCCATAGAATGGCACATGTATCATCATGTACTTGTATCATCTTGTATCAGTGTTTTACTGACAGGACAACCTCGGAGCATCCCGGCAACAACTATTGACGTGAGATTCTGCAGATTGAAGGACATAGTTGGGTGGAGGAGTCTTGACTGACAAATTGTTGGGCTGAGAGCACAAGCCACATACTCTCAAATCATTGTGCCCCCAGAAATCCATTCCTTTAATGCACCCTTTGGTGGCAGACACCCCTTCCAACAGTGGAGTAGGACATGAATTGATTCAGGAGTCCGCCGCTTGTTGGCTTACCTCATGCGGAGGAATCATAGGGCTGTTCCAGAGTATCAGAGTATCGGATAGTGGAATTTCAGCACCTGCTGCGGAGGCCCACGGCAGCTACGTAAGATTAAGAGATGGTCCTTGCAAATGCCAGTTTTTGAGCTTCATGTGAGACTAGACCATGTTGAACCTCGATGCTTCTCATGTTTCCTAGACTGCATTGCTTAGGACTTCCAAGTCTCCGGAGGTTGGAATTTGCCCTCTAGATGGAATCGCTATGTTCCTTCGATTCAATACCCTGTGTTCTATTCATGGAATCCTCTCCGGCATGGTAATCAAAACACGTATTGACAACATATGATCAAACTGATCGGATCAAACACTATCAGGATCAACCGCAACATAGTATTCAAGAGAAGTTTGTGCGGAAAGGGAAAGGGCGAAGGGAGGAGAGGGAGGCAAGAAAGGAAAGGAAGGCAAGGAAGGACCCGAAGGAAGGAGGGAAAGGAAGGGAAGGGAAGGGAAAGGAAGGGAAAGGAAGCGAAGGGAAAGGAAGGGACAGGAAAGGACAGGAAGGGAAGGGAAAGGAAGGGAAAGGAAGGGAAGGGAAGGGAAAGGAAGGGAAAGGAAGGGAAAGGAAGGGACAGGAAGGGACAGGAAGGGAAGGGAAAGGAAGGGAAAGGAAGGGACAGGAAAGGAAGGGAAAGGAAGGGACAGGAAGGGAAAGGAAGGGAAAGGAAGGGAAGGGAAGGGACAGGAAGGGACAGGAAGGGAAGGGAAAGGAAGGGAAAGGAAGGGACAGGAAGGGAAAGGAAGGGAAAGGAAGGGAAGGGAAGGGAGGAACAGAGGAGGAGAGGAGGAGAGGAGAGAGGAGAGAGGATGGGAAGGGAAGGGAAGGGAAGCGAAGCGAAGGGAAGGGACGAAAGAAGGCAGGGGCTGCGACCATGCTACTCCGTCATGTTTGTCAGTTTTTCTGGCTTTGCCTTCCCTCATCCGGCCATGGATGACCTTCCGTTCGGCCGTCCAAGCAGTCCGCCTGCGTCAGTGGAGTCTAGCGCTTCAGCTGCTCCAGCCGCAGCGACAGCGCCCGCTTCGGCACCTGGGCTGCAGCTTGGCCGCGCTAGGTGCAGGCACTGTATGGGCAGAGGCGCGGACGGGCTCAAGGATGCGGTCAACTTAACGTGGGCGCTTCTTCATCACCCGTTTCATGCGACTTGATGTTCATTTTCATGTGGTTGTGAGCTGAGTCTTCCGAAGACTTGTGAGGCTTTGAAACTGCTGTATGCGGCCTTGGGTCGAGCGGATGCCGTGGACAGCGGATGTTTTGCATTGGCGGTGAAAGCTTGTGGAGAGGCGAAGCAGTGGGAGAGGCCGGTGGGACGAAAGGTCCAAGACAGACGTACAGCACTGCAGACATCGGACGAATGTACATGGGTGTGGCATTTGTTGCTTGTTTTGGACCTCAAGTCGAAGGTGGATGAGAAGGATTCGTTTGAGCATATGATATGTGATGAGGGCGTTTCTTTTGTAGTCAGGTGATTTTGTGTATGACTGTATGACTGCTCGATACCTCTTGTGCTTCAAGGCGGTGAAACTTTATATAGTATATTAAACAATATTAAAACTGGTTGTGAACAGTCATAATTTGCACATGCATGTATATATATATATTTATATTTGTATATGTGCTGTATTTAGTGTTTAGCTTGTATGTATTCTGTATGCCGTGCTGAAGTTTCATCCCCTTACTGAAGGACCGACAGGCTTTGGGCTTTGACCCAGGGAACACCCAATCACCTGATGTAGGAGTCTGCAGTTGCTCGAAGAGATGAATGGTCGGAGGATGCACATCAACCTGGCTTGCTACACCGAAGCTGCCCGGAAACCTCAGTTCAAAAACTCCACAACCGTGGCCCTGCTGCTATGACGACTTTTGATACAATTCATCAAGAATCGATGTATTTAGTTTGAAAACAAGTGTTTCTTCTAGTGCAAGACAAAGGACCCACCGCGCAGGACTCGAGGTGGAGTGGCTAATTTGTGCCGTTTTGAACTGATTGGCCAAAAGGGCATCTCTCAGCTGTTTTGAGACTCCAGCGCCTTGTCGTTTGTAGCCCAGTCTGGCTCGAGTTAGTGGAACAGAGGGCTTTTGCTGCCAGCCCTGGCTGCAACTTTGCATCAAAGATGGTGGGAGTTGTGAACGTCAGTCTGTCAGCTGTGAACGTTTTCACGTGCGTTTGATGTTGCCAACTAACCATCTCGAAGGTCCCTTTTTGCTCTAGCTGACTCTACCTTTTTGGAGGTTTTTTCCACGTTATCCCCGACATCACCTCCCGCTCAACCCATCCAGCGGACCGAGAACCGCGGCCAACGGGACATCCCAAAAAGACCACTGATCGATCTTTTCTGCACGCAGCGTAGCGCTCCAAAATAGAAAAGGAACAACAAACCAGCTGAAGGGGGAAATCCATGCCTGCATAAGAACGTCCTCGATCCTCTCGCAGTTTTTGGTCGCAGCTCAGGCCGATGCGTGGCGCCGTGGCCTCGGTGTGAAAACACATCGTAAGAACCGGAGGCTGTGGGACTGACGTGGCACCCAGATCGGGGTCCTAGATTTGTTTGCTTTCCAAGAGTTGCATTTTTGGGCGGAGCACATCTGAAATCATCTGAAGGCAGGAGGCTGCAGAAGTCCAAGGTCCCTGAGACTCTGCAATAGGACAGGTTCATTTGCCAAGTGTTGCGTTCCCTTAAACGAGGGCATCGCTTTACAGATCGCCAGCTGCATGTGCCGAGGCCGCCTGGGCGATCTTGGCGTTGCTCGGACCAGTTGCAAGCATCAAGGTCTCAATTCACCTGCCTGCTCGAGATCCTCAGCTTGAGAAGGGTGCTGCGCAAAGCAAAGAAATGGGATACTTATATAGGGGCATGCCGTTAGAATGCAAATCTGTGACCTGCCCTGGTAGCTCCCTGTTGTGATCTGTTGCAAAAAAGACGAGGTCAGTTTCTGAAGGCAATCGCCCCCAAACACATGCTGACCCGTGTCTTGTATTTCTGGGGCTTAGCCTTAGCAATGGAAATCTGACTCTCCTTGGCTGATCTACATCTTGGTATATCTTTGTGTTTTTGCAGTGAGGTTATCTTTGCATGGTAATGTGTCGGAGTTTGGCGTGCTCCGCGTCCCAAAATCCAATCTCCCAACAGCTGTCGGGCTTCTCTTGACCAAGTCGGCGGCCGCACTCTGACTGATCAGATCAACCTGAAATTTGATCATAAAATCATCACTCCCGCCAGACAGGGCTAGACTGACAGGGTCAGGGTAGAATAGGAAAGCCGGCGCCGGGGCATAACCTGTGGCAGTTCCGGCGAGTCGCTTCAGATTCTTTGGACAATGTTGGCGCGCGTAGCAGCGCAGCCTTTAAACCTGTGCAGTTTACTGAGCTTGGTGGCTAGTTATCACGCTCAGTAAACTGCTTCAAAGGCCACCAAGCGGAAGAGCTGGACTGCTTTCTGTTGGCTTGAGGCTGTTCTTAGCCGAATTGAATGAAGTCTTTTGGGAAAGCTCTGCGTGCTACCAGTTCAGAACCCCGTGATTCGGCCAATTCGGCTTGCAACTTTCAGTGCGGCTTGCATTTAAGGAGAAGAAATGCTTCGGTGAGCAAGCAGCAAGACTGGAGCTCTTAGTTGCCCAGCTTTATGGGACAAGGACATGTCGCGAAGGAGTTTTCCCGAATGCGTAGCGAAGGGTTCTCGTTTAACTCTGGGGGTCTGGGGGTAGAGCCTTGTTCGCGACCCGTTGTTTCTACGTCCGCAACCGTCCGCAACCGTCCGCAGGTGTTCGCAGTAGGTCGCTTGTAAGGCGCTGCCATTGGGGGAAGCGTTTGGAGAGGGTTTCGGATGGAAACGTGACGTGTCAGGTTCGTGTGAAATAGCAAGGAACCGTGTGGAAATGTAAGATGTTGAAGTGTGGAGGATGATTTCACTGCGCAGGTGCAGCGTTTTGTAAGATCCGCAGTTTGCTGCGCAGTTCCATTGCGATTAGCGTTTGGAGAGTCGTGTTTTTGGGGTGTTGGATGTGGCCGTGCCATTGGGATTTGCGTTTCAGGGTGTGGCATCGAAGCTCTGTTTTCGTGACAAGTCTCAGTTGAAATGGCGATTTTGGCGGATGGGAGTGTGCTCAGAACGGGTCGAAATCATTCCAAACGTGTGGTGTGGTGCAAATTTTGGTGAAGCCCACATGAGATGACATTGTCACTTTTCGTGGCAGGCGCAGGACTTTGTGCGGGTTTTGAGGTATGGAAGTGCGATTTTCGGGGCAGGCGCAGGGAATCGTGCGGTTGCGAGGTGTGACGGAGGTGACATTTCGTGGCAGGCACAGTACTTTGTGCGCGTTAGACGTGTGGACGCGGAAAGATTCGTGGCAGGCACAGGGAGTCGTGAGGTTGTGAGTTGTGGTAGATTTGCGCGGCCTTGGTGGAAAGTGCGTTTGCGTGGCGCCGTGCCACTGGGGAGCGCAAAACACGCTGGCGTAAACGCGGCGTGTCGCTGGTGAGCGGAATGATTTGTGGTATCATGTGATATGTTTGCTTCAA